ATCACTTGGTTTTGAAGCAAAAAACATGTCGATGTCCTCTTTAACACCTTCCACATTTGCATACGTTTTGCCATTAAAATGTTGTTGCAGCGAATGAAAAAGATGGTACTCTGATGGTGCCATATGTGGAGAATATTGTGGGTGGGGGAGAACTTCCCAACCCAACTCCATAATCTTGCATCAAACGTGCCCCATGTGGACGTGCATTGTTGTGGAGAAGAAGAACACCTTTCCGACTGACGAATGAAGGGCGTTTCTGACGAAAGGCTTGATTTAAACATTCCAGTTGCTGACTATAGATCTCTGCATTGACAGTTCGCTGTAGATTGAGGAGTTCGAAATGAATTACTCCTTTGATGTGCCACCAAAAGCACCACTTTCTGCGGATGGAGTCCATGAAGTGATTTTTGTCTAGGATTGAGCCACTGTTTTTGACGTTTAATATTCGCATAGAAAATCAATTTTTCATCACCGGTGATAATTCTGTCCAAAAATGAAGAGACGAAGCGACGAAGCAACGTTCACACGTCAAAAACGATGAACATCGGAGAGTTCGTGAGGTACCCAAACACCTTCTTTATGGAGTTTTCCCATATTCCTTAGATGTTTACGCATTGATTCATGAGAGACATGCAATTTCAGGGCCATTTCACGAGTGTGTTGCCTTGGGATAGACTCGACAAGCGTCTTCAGAGCATCAATATCAGTTCCAACATATGGGCCCCTGCCATCACCTGAACGAAATTTGCTGAACCACCATTGACACTCACGAAGTTCAAAACATTTCTATAAACTTCTTTGATATTCTTTGTGGCTACAGAGGCGTTGCTTCCCTTCTTGTATTCAAACAGCATTACATGCCGAATCTGTGCCTCGTCGTGTGCCATCACTATAAGGGATTAGAGTATCCTAAACTTTACACATTATATAGGCTACACTAACTTGACGTTTAGACGGTTCGTTTAATTATTATACGTGTGTACGTTTTTGGGGGGTTTGTTAATGAAAGTGTTCCAAAACGCGACATTAGCTTTTTGACGACCTAATACAAATATTAAGCCAACAGTGCTAAACAATCTTTGTAACGAAATGATAATATCAAAAAATAAGTTAAAGTAATAAATAATATAACTCACATAAAAACACAAGTACCAACAGTCTGCTCTAAGCACTGCCGTGGAAGAAATTATTTTGATAACGTGAACTTATCGGTAATGCAAGAAATAAAAACGAAAAAATGAATAATTAAAATCATTATTATATGTGAAATTTATATATTGCTTAGTAATTAAAGAATCATATATTGCAAAATATATGATAACAACATATTAATACTGTAAGTAGTTACTAGAAAATAACTTAATAAAATAATAATATTAAATAACTAGAAAACCTAATAATACATTGATTTGCATACTTTGTAATGAATAGCTAAAAGCATATTAAATTTTAGAAAGATGTTTTAATTTTCTAAAGATTCGTAAACTGTTAATAAAATTGGGATAAATGAGTGAAGTACCCCTGATGGTGGTTATATCTTTCTTTAACTAAAAGTTTAACCAATTAACTACATAAGAAACAGACTTGTCAAAAAACGTAGTCTTACTCTGTGGAATATGCTGTATTAGTCACTGAAAACTAAATTTTACGGCCTTTTTTCAATATATTTATAAAATCAGATTTTCATAGAATTCCTCTACCATCCGACATTATGATCGAATAAATCTGACCTTAGATCTTCCTTGAACTTGCTTTCCGTTATTCAACTGCAGCCAAGCGTCCCATCGGTCTCTGTACACATTGATGAAGTTCCAAGAACGAGGAACCACTGGTCGGACACTTCTAAGAACTCCCATTCCCATACCACAGTCAAACCTGTAGAGGATAAAACACCAGTCACACACCTGTATGTAGGATAAAACGCCAGTCACACATCTGTATATAGGATAAAACGCCAGTCACACATCTGTATATAGGATAAAACGCCAGTCACACATCTGTATATAGGATAAAACGCCAGTCACACACACCTATATGTAGGATAAAACGCCAGTCACGCACTTGTATGTAGGATAAAACGCCAGTCACACATTTGTATATAGGATAAAACGCCAGTCAACATATAGGTGTGTGACTGGCGTTTTATCCTACATGCAGGTGTGTGCGACTGGCGTTTTATCCTACATGCAGGTGTGTGCGACTGGCGTTTTATCCTACATATAGGTGTGTGCGACTGGCGTTTTATCCTATATGCAGGTGTGTGTGACTGGCGTTTTATCCTATATACAGATGTGTGGGATAAAATGCCAGTCACACACCTGCATGTGGGATAAAACGCCAGTCACACACCTATATGTGGGATACAACGCCAGTCACACACCTGTATATAGGATAAAACGCCAGTCACACACCTGTATATAGAATAAAACAGTTGTATCAACACCTGGACTTAAGTAATAAGAAACTGCTTCACTAATTACAGCAATAAAAAAGTTATTCAAATATGTAATGAAAATTTACAGCGTGACATATTAAATTACTTAATTAAGGCTTTATAACGCTTCCTACTGTCAAGTTTATAACTTGAAGAACAGAAGAAATTTTAAAACGTCCTGGATATCCAAACGTAAGATCTAAAAAACGCTACTCACCTGAAATGTTAAATTATAACAACAAACTACTTAATCCAAGCAACACTAATAGAAATAAACACAGCACGTGTCCTGAAGGTGATAGAAAAATATACAGGAACTAGAACTATTATACTTTCAATTTCTCAAGCTCTTAGTGTGGAACGCTCGTGATTCTTGCGATAGATACTGTTCAATCTTCGAAATGTACTCCTAATACACTCACGTGCAAGCCAAGTAGTTGCCCAGTTGTGAGGCATTAGGTAACTTTCTCGTTTCTTGTGAACATCATTGTGCATGTTATGCCTGTGACACACAGAAGTAAGGTTCTATAAAACAAAATACCAAAAAAAAACACTCAAAACTCTTATGCTTTTATGTTAAAAAAACACCCTCAAGAAAATGAGATTTATGTCGACAGTTCGGGCGAATCATGTTTGGTGGCAAATCATTATTTTGCACCATCGTTTTGGAGACAAAAGTGTTTGAAGTGTGTAACTGAAATGTGCCTCAAAACACCCTTTCAAGCTATCTCTATGCCAAGAACTATTACACAGTGTTCGTTTGGTTTATTTTGAACTTCACGCATAGCTACACGAGGGCTACCTGGACTAGCCGTCCCTGATTTAGTACTGATAGACTAGAGGGAAGGCAGTAAATAAATACCACCCACTTCCAACTCTTCCACAGAATGCGAGTCCAGCGCCCTAACTACCAGGCCATGCCAGGCCTGGTACAGCAGGGTTAACGACATATATACTTTCTAAATATCTACACCCGTGGTTCTCAATCTGAGGTCTGAGGAAGGGTTGTCCAGTTATGGAAATGAAGCAGAAGCTGAAACGTTTAAAAACCGCTAACTTACACAAACAAAACTTATATTTAATATAAACTTCATCACACGGGTCAAATTTATAAACTTTCACACGTTTAACATTTGCAGTATACGAACTGATACTTATTTGTCCACTGTCTAAAAGAGTAATATTTCTAAAAACTACGACCAGCAGAGAGAACCTTTACACGTAAAACTGCAAACAGTTCGCTTCTATCTGTAATATACTTCTTGGATGGGTGGAGGGAAGAAAAAGGTACGAATAAAATACTTCTGGGATAGATGGAAGCAAGAAAAAAAAAGATATGAATAAAATACTTCTGGGATAGATGGAAGCAAGAAAAAAAAAAGATATGAATAAAATACTTCTGGGATAGGTGGGAGCAAGAAAAAAAGATATGAATAAAATACTTCTGGGATAGATGGAGGCAAGAAAAAAGATATGAATGAATT